TCCACGTGGTGCACCCTGGGCAACGTATACACATACGGAAGTCTATCAATCGGAAGTTGACTTCCCACTACAAACTACCATCACCTCACTGTATGTTATATTCGACCACTCCCACAGTACTCACCTCACCTTTTCTCTACCTTTGTGTTTGTCTCTTACATCTTTGAAACACTCTTCTATTCCATCCCCCCCCCCCCCCCCCCNCCCCACCCTCTTGACTTTTTTTCACTTTGATGTTCCTTCCCCTCCGTGAAGCCCGAAATCAGCTAAAGGGCTAATGATAACTATCAAAACGCCTGCCATTTGATATAAATAAATGAATAAAGATAAATTCACACTCTTGCATTGGCCAAGAATTTTGGCAGTGTGATTGACCATCCACGTCATTAATTGTGCACTCATGAGTAGTGGTCACAGACCATCCCCGCACTCGCGTACTTTTATTTATTAACTTATTTCATTGAAACACGCAAGGTGATCATTCATATGAAGATCGGTTAAGTAAATTAAATAAAGCAAGTCCATCAACTCTGAAACTGAAGGAATTTCATTTCATTGCTTATTGCAACGGGAGTGGTATGGATTTGGATGACAATTTATTAATTTTGGCGGAAGTATAAAATACTAATGACTTGTAATTCTAATTGTCACACCGAAGAAAGCAAAAGCAGCCCACAAGCGGGATCTGAAGGCCGTGAAATGAGAAAAGGGGTAAAAGAAACTTTTGCGGCACAAAAGTGCCACAAAGATCATTCACTAGCTTGATGCCTGCGGCAAAGTCGATCCAGTGTCCCCTCCTTTCCATTGGTCTATTCTGTCCTTGTTGGTCTGTGTGCTGGCAAGAACTTCTGTATAAGGTGATGAAATCACTAGCTAAGCCTACTTCTAACTTTGCAGTAGCAAATCACTTGATGATGTTGTTATCACGGCAAAGTTACCACGGACTCAGTGCATACTTAGTTGGAGGAAGATTTATATCGAAATATTTATTTATTTATATCAAATGGTGGGCATTTTGATAGCTTTAGTTGACTTCAGGCTTCACAGAGAGGAAGGAACATCAATTTGAAAAATAGTCGAGATGGGAGAGGGGAACAGAAGAGTGCTTCAAAGAAGTGAAAGAGACAGACACAAAGGTAGAAAAAAGGTGAGGTGAGTACTGTTGAAGTAGTCGAATATCCCATACAGTGGGGTGATGGTAGTTTGAAGTCAGAAGTCAACTGCCGGTTGATAGACTTTTTTTGCCGTATGAGTATACGTTGCCCAGTGTGCACCACATGGAGGTATGCCTATCGCACACCCTATATCGAAATATATTGCTATAACAAAGTGCCTATCCATATTCTATGTCTCTATACCAAAAAACCACCGCAGATATTGCATAGTAACGGACAGAACTACACTAATGGGCTCTGAATTAAAGAATCTCTTGCGCGCTCGAACATTCTGGAACGCGCAGAATGATGATGATCGCGTTAGGGAGGAAAAGAAGTCAGCTGTGTTTAAGCCCCAAAAACAGTATTTAATGACTTGCCTCCCTATATGTGCACAGCCAACACACGCGCAGCTCCAAAGTAGCATGTTCCAAACCGTACGTCTGTTTTCTCTATAGCCTTGAGAGGTAGGTTAGCGAATTCAGAGAGCTATTTCAGACTAGGCTTATAAATATGTCAATCTGCTACAGTTATATACTCTTATTAATTTAGACAGTTTTCTCCAAAATTCCTACTATTATTTGTGTCAAATGGTGGGCGTCTTGATGGTTATCATTAGCCCATTAGTTGACTTCAGGCTTCGCGGAGGGGAGGAGGAACATCAAATTGAAAAAGTCGAGAGGGGGGGGGGGGAAGAGAAGAGTGTTTCAAAGATGTAAAAGAGACAGACACAAAGGTAGAAAAAGGGTGAAGTGAGTACTGTGAAAATATTCGAATATGACGTAGAGTGAGGTGATGGAAGTTTGAAGTGAGTAGTCAAATGCCAGATAATAGACTTTTTTGCGTATTAATATACTTTGCCCAGGGTGCACCACGTGGAGATAAGTCTATCGCAACCTCCCCCCCTCCTAATAATTACTACTGAAAGTACCGAAAATAAATCATTATTGTGGATAACCGTGACAAATTTTATGAACACCAAACCGATATATATATATATATATATATATATATATATGCTTGTATTCAAATACCTGCACTGATTTAAGGTGAATGTTTACGAAACTCCCAATGTGTTGCATTTAAAAATATGACGAATTGTACTCATAATTTTGTTTATGTGTTTCACGAGTAAGCTGTGTACTCGCCAACTTGCCATGCTAAAATCTTGCAAGCCGCTTAGTAACATGAAGCTTTCTCAACCTCTGGAATGAAAAGCCGTGGATAGGAGTGACTACACTAACCACCGGAATTAAATAGCCCATGTCAATAGTTTCGGGTGATTGGGGGGAAAAGATGTTGGAGACACTAACACCTTCCCCATGATCCGCGCTGAACTTATATTTTGAGTGTGGGGGTGTGCGATAGACTTACCTCCTCGTGGTGCACCCTGGGCAACGTATACTCATACGGCAAAACAGTCTATCAACCGGCAGTTGACTTCTGACTTCAAACTACCATGGCCCGACTGCTTGTCATATTCGATCCCTTTCACAGTACTCGTCTTACCTTTTTCTCCACCTTTGTGTCTGTCTGCCTCTTTTACATCTGTGAATCGCTCTTCTCTTCCCCACTCCTCGATTTTCTGTTACTTTGATGAACCTTCCTTCTGTGAAGCCCGAAGTCAGTTAAATGGCTACTGATAGCTATCAAAACGCCTGTCATTTGAAATAAATACATATATTTTGAATGTCTTTATTTAGGGCGATAGTTGAAGGCATAAAAATATCCATTCAAGAGACGTCTTATCTTTCAACAACTTCTAGAATTTACATGAAAGTAGGAGCAATTAAACAACTAGCCAGCGAGTCACTTTCCAATTATAGAGCAATTGCGACAATTTGTTAAATCATGAAACGCACGATTTGCAACACACACCTAGGCTAAATTCTTAGTTTAGTTTCAGTGACCTCGTGGGGCCTAAGGTCAAATGCATGTTTGGTTTCATTAACATTACAACGAGCTTTGATTTCGCTCGCTAACCTATATTCCGATAAATTCAATTGGAATTAAAACCTGCTCGAATGTTACTTCCACTTAAAGCACACTTATAACTATTTCAAATGAGCACTTCTCCATTAATATGTGCAGCAAAATTTATAACTTGGTTAATTAACTGTTCATAGGTAAAAACGTATATATAAAAAAAAATATAGCATACCATTGGTAGTCCAATCCGGCAAATCAGATCCCCTTGTCTTCTTCATTCAGATCCTCCACCTCTTAATTGTTTAATCGAAACAGTTCTACCCTCCACCCTCCACCCCCCCCCCCCCCCCCCCCCCCCCCCCCAACTTGCCACAAAAACTGCAAATATACGCAGAGTCCTTATGCCGCTTAAGGCACATAACACCTAACGCAGAAATTCACCATAAAAGTGCACCCCTAATTGCATCACATGACCAAATAAAACCCCGCAATCACACTTGGGCTAGACAACCCGCCATCTGCTTGGGTTCATTGATGACACAACACAACTTAAGTAATCACCACCACCACCAGCACCAGCCAAATAAGCAGAACTCGCAATTAAAATGAATCTTTTAGTTTTACTTCTAAAGAAACAAACATACGGTACGGAGAGTAGCAGTAGCGTTAGCAGTATAAAAAGATAGTTTTCGTGTGCGAATGTTCGTTCAAACAGAGGGGGGGGGGAGGGAAAGGAGGAGAGAGAGAGAATAGAATTCGAGCGCTTAATCCAATCTCAAACGTGAGAAAGAGCAAAACCTTACCACTCGATTAAAACACAGCCAGTAAAGATGGAGAGAACATGGAGGAAAAAGGTCAATTTTTCAATCAGTTCTATACAAAAGGCGGAGGAGGGGGGGGGGGAGGAGGAGGAGGAATCTACAAAGATACATTCAATCTGATTTGAACACTCACACAAATATAAATGCTGAATTTCATTTCATGCACATATTAATACATCACCACGGTTCAGGCAGATTCATCAACCTATCAATATCCTCTGCGGTATCGAAACCTGGAGGGAAGAAGGTCTGTCGATAACCACTCAGATTGGTCCAAGGAAGAATATGTAGCATTTCCTCATCATTGATAGGAACTGAGCACATTTCTGTCATGGGACGTAAGTTACCTTCTTCATCTCTGGTTGCGTTGACTTCTTCCCACATTCCATGGATAAGATCTCCAACCTTACCGATGTCACTCAACTCCCTTTGATCCGGAGTTTTACACGAACGATAGGATAATTGGTCTCGAAGTTCTTTAGTTATGGGAGGAAGTGGAGGAATATTGTCCATGAAATTTGGGAGCGGCTTCTTTTCTTCTTTACCAGTGTCTTCGTTGAGACCACCTTCTTTCTGGTCTTCCTTATGAAACCGATGGTTGTGATCGGAAGATTCCTGATTGATATCAGAGGAATCTTGTTTGAGAAGAGAATGAATCCGATCAAGTTTAATAGGGGGGATTGGTGGAGGTTTGCTCGAATTCGGTCGAGGCTCTTCCTTGACAATAGGAATAACAAGTGCAGATGTTGACTTTGGTGAAACATGGATCTCAGCATGCCTTTTCCGGCTTTTCGATTGGAATTGGCATTGCTTTTGCTGCTCATCTGGCTGTTTCTCTTGCTGTTGCTTCTGAACCCTGCTTTTCCTAGAAGTACGTATAGTAGAAAGAGGAGCGATATGAACCACTTCATCAGATTCCTTGGCTATTCGATTGCTGAGAATTCGGTCCTTGATAGCCGGATCGATGGAAAGACCTGCTTCCTGGATCAACTCAGCGGTCGATTTTACCTTAGAGAGCTTTGGCGCGGTGGAAACGGATGATAAACGGCCATTTTCCTGAGGAGGGACTTTAGGAGAATGCCCATTAGAAAGGGGTGGAGGTTGAGCAGTATTGGCTTGCGAAGAAATGGAATCAGACGATTTTAGCTTTTTAGCAGGATGAATGATAGGGGAGTCCTGATGGCTGTGGTTATTTGTAATGGGTAAGGAGGATTGACTTCGATGGGGTTTAACGTGGCCATTATATTTTTGGATCAGAGGGGAATTGGAAGAAGTGGGTTTCGCAAAACCATTAAAGGCGGTCTTGCTATTATTATCATTACTACTAATACAACCTCCACCATTAGCAGAGGATTTGTGCTGAGCTGGAATGACAGTTGTGACACCTGAGTTGGGAACAATGAGCTTTTGCCAAGTTTTAATAACAAAACGGATTCGTTTTTGTAAACGCGAGTCCACTTGGTGTCGAACAGATTGTAACATCTGCGCAGCTCCAGACTCCTTCAATACATCAATTGTCATGGGGTAAACTTCGAGTTCATCCACGGCTCGCTCTATTGAAGCCGCATCAAGAACCTTTAAGGGATAAAAAACACCCAATTACTCTCAAATCAATCATCTTTAATGAATAAAATGGAGTAAGCGCGTGAAGAACTTATATAGAGACCACGAGACATGTAGGGATCAAATATACACCGCACTTAAAGAAACTGTCAGACCAATAAGAGCTCAGAACGAGAAAACCAACCAATGGATAGAGAAACAGGTAGGGAACCAATGAAATCCGACACAAGGAATGGATGGAATATAAATACGCGCTTATGACAAGCAGAAAAGCCAGCCTTGCGTGCAGCTTAGAGCTCGCGCATGCCTGGGTGGTTGTGCGCACGTCACGATAGTGCGTGCGTCGGTGCAACCGCCAAGAAGAGATAGGCGTAAGCTAAAGCCTACAAGCTAGAGAGACGGACATGTAGCCATATGCTACGGTATACAAATGCATTTTAAGGCAGAGGCATCTCTGCCGCTAAAACGGAGGGAGGGCCTACTGCACCACCTCGCTTTTTACATTATTAATATTCGGTATATTCACTGTCCTGAGCTAGCTCCCAATAAATTACATCCCGAGATAGAATAAAACAATAGAAACGTTTAATTCATCAGAAATTTATTAGCGAGAAAAATGTATTAAGACGGAACAAAGAGCATAGTACGTTAGAACGTTTAGGGTTCTATGGGATGCATTGCTAAAAATCATTGTCACCAAGCAAGGGCCGTGTTAGTGGAGAAGCAGGGAAGGGGAAGGTGGGAAAAGCGGAGGGAGAGATGATTATGAATTATCACTATATGTTGCGCAAATGGCATATAACGAAATTAAGACGATAAAATTACCCTGTAAGAAAAGAAGTACGTAACCAAAAGGAAGGACTAAACAAAAGACCATCCTACGCATTAAAGACAATAAAAAAACGAATTCGAAATTATTTAGTATTCAATGAGATAAAAAAGTGAATACCAAACCTGAAAAATGAGAAATTACCCGACGGACGATCGAGGGGTTCTGAGATCATACAAAGCACCAATGTGATCCCAAACTTCGTAACAAATGGGAAGGAACAATATCGGAAAGAAACTAGATAATCGAGAAATAAGATGTGCAGTAAATAAAAAAGTGGGTCTACCACAGTGGGACAAACTATCTCTACAAGGAAAACTCACCAAATGTTAACATCTCTGATCAATGTTTCGAGATAACAAAATGACCAGTCCAAAGAAAAACCAATACAGTAAGTGTGTGACTAAAAGAACCCCTTTACTCCCGCATAATTGAAAGAGAAGTCCAACTAAGCAACAAAGAAGATCTAAGGTCTTGGGACGGAAAAAACAAAAGGTTAAGCGCACAAAGTCACGGAACCCGTCGAATAACGAAATACTAATTGAAAAGAATGAAACTAATAGAAAATGGGATAAGTATACACATACTATCGCCATACAACCATCGAACAATTTCTAAAACCATCTTAAATCCTGAGGCATAAAAGACAGCAAATTTTATGTAAATCGTTATCAAATATATGATAACAACATAAACTTGCTTGATTTGAAGAATTAATTCCTCTTCTCAAAGCTAACATTATTGATTCCAGAGCAGAATTCATTTCTGGAAAAAATATAAATCACAAGCAAGACCGCTAACACGATACGCCCGTAGAGCGAACGGCCATTTGAGAAATACACATGTAGTTATTAGTATTTAGTCGGCTCAAACAAAATTTTTACTGCTTTTATTAATATATGCAGCTTTAGAAATTGTATATTTCTATCGGTTTATAAAAATTATTATTAATAAATGACGTTGAAATTATTTAAATTATATTTTATGACATAGTTTGCCAATGCTTAATGTGTGATGATCTGCGCATTTTGTTTAACATTTGGGTCGCTATTTAAATTCTGTTGAGGTATCTTTGTCATAATTAAATTATCCAAATGTGGAATGCTTTTATGATTATTTTCTTTATTTAATTTCATTTTATCCATTGTTTTCAGTCAGTTTAATACTTTCATTTCTTTTTATGTAATTTACTGCACATCACATGGATGATTATTCCATTTTGGTTTATATATTTCAACATTGGTTATTTTTTCATTGCTTTTCCTTATGTGCTAGTTTTTCCTTTATAGTAACTAGCTATTGCATAGAATGGTTCTCACTACATCATCGCTGCGTAAGTTCAGCAAAAGCGGCTCCAAACCCCTCCCTTCTGAACCAGGATCGAAAGTACGACATTCTATTCCTGGTCCGACTTCTCCGGGAAAGTTCTTTTCCCTTCTCATCTATTCTCTACTTCGCAAACCCATCTTCGTGAATCCATCGGTAAAAGCCGGTGTGTATCTTTGTATCGCTGCTGCGTGTTCTCTCCTTTTCGATTTTATTAAAGCTCCCCCTTGCTATTTCTCACAAAAACGAAATGCCCTAAATCTTATTTTTGTGAAATGGGGTTGGGCATGGACTTTTTGTAGTTTGGCTACTTTCATGCTGATCTCGACTTTTATATATACTGGTGGAAATAAACGGCTCATCAGGGGCCATCTCATGAGACTTTTATTCGGGTCTGCCTGTTGGTGAGTTTTCTCTGTTCTTATTAGGTTTTTCTTATTTACCTAATATTATCTCCTGTATTACTTTTTACTTCGTTCCAATGGATGCTACTATTTTGTGAAACTTTCAGTCTTACTTGGTTTATTTTGGACAAATTATTTCACTTTCTCTAATCGCATGGTTTTGAAGTTTTCTTGCTTTGGCTGGCTATGTTTCTATACCTGCTTTTTGGAAACCAGATGCGGTTTTTAATATTTTGCTAGGCCTTACTTGAGTACTTTTCGTGTTTGTTGAAATAACCACAAAAATTTTTTCTTCCGTTTGCTTTCCTCATTTAGGTGTGAATAGGTCCGCATCTGCCTTGAGGTTAACTACAGCTCTAGTTACTGATGTTTGATGATCTTGTGTCGAAATAAAAAAAATTTTAATTTTCCTCTAAGCCACTTTAAATTATGGCCTTGTTTTCTTTATCTTTTCATGTTATGCAGAGACTTTGTGACAACCGAATTTTAATTGCCTTCTTAAGTTGCTGGTCGATTTGTTTCCGTTTTTTGCCCTTCTAAATCAATTTCTATTTTCCACAAATAATCTCTCTATCCACGCTCTTTTGGCACGGTATTCACGTGACATTGTTCCTCTTCTATCATGTTTGCTTTGAGGTTCGTGAAAACCAGATCAAAATGGCCATCAATGTTGTCTCTTTAACGTCGTCTAGGTTGCTCTTTTTCGGCGCTAACACAGTTAAAGTGTTATCCTTGGCTAGATGACATTTTCCCTTTTGTTGATTATTCGTTAACTCGCTCCAGTTTTCTTGTTCTCTCGGAGCTAAAGCGCCCGATGTTTTTCTGTGTGAGTCTTTGTGTGATTTCTAGGGCATTAGTAGGGGGGGGGGGGGGGGGGGGGAAGGGGAGGGGTATAGCAATATCGATTGCTAATACGTATCCTTTTGTCAGCATGCCTAAATGTCATTTGTTTATGCTAAATTGCAGCTGATGTGTTCTAGAATCAAGATTACCGGAGCTCATGTGCCTTATCCTCCTCTTCTGATTAAGTTGATCGACTTAGTGTAGTAGATCACATAAAGTGAACTGAGGGGTCAACATCATTGTTTTTTATAAGATAAGACTCTTTGTCCTTTTTTACTTTTCTTTTATAAAAGGACTTTGATCGTCTTCCCTCGACTTCACTTCTTACCATTATTAACGATCACGGAAATGTCAAATTCAGGAGGGAGATTTTTAAGACGGCGTATTGCCCCCAATTTTTACTAAACGAACCTTTTTTTAAATCAGCAAACGGTCGTGTGTGTCCGGGAGCACACACGCGTATTTTGGAATTATGGGCTGCTCCTCTTAAGATCCTTCAATTATGTGGTTGTATTTGTGTTTAATTTCTTCTTTTTAATGTGACCGATTTCACGGCACAATGAATTGGGTAAAAGGCCGTAAATATATATATATATATCTTAAGAATGAAATAGGGTTAATAAAAAGACTACTTTATTTGATTTTTTAGGTTGCATGAAATTTACCTTCTAGGTAGTTAACGTTTCAAAATTTGCACTTCTTTATTCGTCTCCTTGGTTTACCGAGGGAATTCTTCTCCATTGGCTGTTTGGTTAATTTGAGAACATTGATTTTGCTACGTAAGAAAGAGCAGAATGACCTCTAACAACAATCTTAACTTAAGCTTTTTTAATTTACATAATTATCAATCGGCAATACAAACTTACTCTTGAATGTGTCCTCAATCTTTCTAACACCTCGTCTATTGACTAAACGTCTTATTTCTAAAGGAAGTTATTGCTTGTTATCAGTCGTTTACCCGTTTAAGCTCGTGTTCTACTCATCAGTCCGTGTGTAAGATGTTTCTGGTTGAGAATGTGATCTACCCCCCCCCCCCCCCCCACCTCTTTGTTGCTATTTGTGACTATCCAACTTACTGCTTGTACAGCATAAGAGATGGCAAATATGCTATCAAGCCTTTTACTTTGTACTCCGTGTTTCGAGGTGGGGACTATTCATGGACTGCATGTGTGTATAGATTCACCCCTGCAAATTCGCTAACACAAAATTCGATCGATTCGTATTAAATTATAGTCATTGCGGTACGGATTGTGAACGATCATATTTGCACTGAATTTGTCATAGCAAAATGGGGAATATCTCTTTTGGATCAATAGATCAATCTTAATGTCAAATTTTCGCAAGTTGAGCTTGAGCGAGTTCATGCCAGTGTTTTTTTCAGTTTCTATTTTCAATTTGGCTCTACTAATATCACTAAAAAACTTACGATTTCAACTTGCCTCGCCTATCTGGCCAGTTCTAAACGCCTTTTTTCGTGTCTCACCCCAGGTACTGCTGTACAGGTTTCTTCAACACAGTGGAATCAAGTTTTGGCAATTGTTATAACTACAATGGGACAATCATTCGACCACCTACAACCCGTCCTTTCAACCGTCGAACTTGTCGAAATGTGAAGGGCTACTGGATGGGATTTGATATCTCGGGCCACTGCTTCCTTCTAACAATGGCCAACCTCTGGATTCTTGAAGAACTTCGAATCATGCGCTCTTGGAATGTGCTGGGGGCTTTGTTGGACGTTTCTACTCACGCGGACAGTATGGACTGTTTTCCAGAGCCACAAAGGCAGGCTCCAAAGTTACCCAACGTGCCTCCAGAGACTGTGCAATCTATGCGTTCCGCGTACTCCCGTTTGACTCTCAATTTGCGAACTGTTTTCTGCATCACTGCCTGTATTTCTCTAATCTGGGACTTTATGTTCCTTATGACGATTGTGTACTTTCATTCAATGCCGTCCAAACTCCTTGGGGCATCTATTGGAATATCCTGTTGGTTGATCTGCTATCGAGGAATATTCCCGAACCTCACTGTGGGATCTTTTGGGGGACTTTGTCCAGGAATGCCCGGGGATGGACCGGTTCATTTTGTTGCTAAGCGTTAAGCAGTCAATTTCTTCTCTTGCCTCTTTTCGCCTTCAATCATTTACCATTTTTTTCTGCGTTTACTCTGAGAATAGAGAAGATGTACAAACTTTTCGATTGTGCATGACATGACCTAAAATATTTATGAGTGCTTACTTTTTCGCTGATTTGAAATCCAATTTCTTTTCTCTGATAACTCAATTTGGGAAAATTGAGGAGACCTCAATGTCTCCATACCTCCTTTTGGATTGACATTATTGATCCAAGTTGACCTCAAGTAATCTAGAGCACGATTCGTCTTCTTTACTCCCAACAAACTCCAACCTGAGTTTGACCCATGGGTAATCGTTCTCGTTTTGCCATGTTAGAGCGCATGTGTTCGATTTCCACTGGCGTACACTTAGAGAGTGGATTGCCCATTTGCACTCCCCATCCAAGATGAGCAGGGGCTTGAGAATTATTACGAATGTAACTCTCAAGAGCAATTTTGAAAAATTTTTCCAACGATAATACCGAGGATGGGGGTGGGGTGATGGAACTTTATAGAATCTCCACTTCTACCGCTGACTTCATTCTGCTTACTGAACGTGCACCGTTGGGCATCATACCTGTGACCTCAAATGAGCATCTTGATCTCTACAACACCAGTGCACTTTGTCATTTTGATTTAAATTAAGAAATTAAGTAGTTGGAGAGATGTAAATTACGGCTCTGAGGAACGAGATTTCATTGAAATTCAACTTTGCTGGATGCCTCCTCGTTCTTTAGACGTTGACTTGAGATATTGTCGACGCAAAGGTCCCTTAGGTGTTCGTTTTAGAGGTCGTTGAACCAAAGTACACCGGAGGACATCTTTCTTAGTTATACATCGCTCAATCCAATCTAAAGGTGCAGGAAACAATACATGTGAAGATGCTCTCATTTGCAGAAGATTTTCTTGGGGAGTTTGGGGGGGGGGAGGTATCTAATCGACGTAGCGGTAGGTCAGGCGACCTATACTGAATCATTGACTTTCCGATTATTTAACTGTGAAGGTATTACGTATTTGAGCTATTTATGGCTTTATCAACTTCCATCATCGAGTTGCATTTACGACCTATCACGATTACGTTTGGATCAAATACTGATTCATCGACCTCCTGTCTTAACTGTTAACTATTTAAGGGAATTCGGGAATCAGGCATATTGCCAGTGTGGCATCGGAAACAGACTGATATATAGTTTATGGAAAGCACTTGCCAACAACTAGACACACATGAAAAAAATATATATATTGGACGAGTAAGAATAGAGGGGGAGGGGGGGGGTTGGGATTTATAAATAGTCAATCTTGTAAATGGCCATGTGATAGCCCGAAAAAATTCCTTGTAGACACTTCCTACAGCAAAGGGAAGACAGTCCTTGAAACCTTTCGAGACATTGCCTTGTGGCAAGTTCAAACACTTCACAATCGAGTTTGCAATCGATGCTCAAGGAAGGTTTAACGCATGATTAATCAATTGGTGATTATTTGACTAATTAACTTTAATTAAAACCCAATATAATTAACTATTTGCTTCTAATAGCCACAATCATATTTGTTCCTAAATGCCTATTACTTAACCAATCAATGAATAGTAGGATAAAGGCACCAACACAATAACTCCACTCATTGGACACTTCCAAAATACAATCCTACATCCCAATCACTCGCAAAAAAAGTTTTAAAAGATACAAATACCTTTATTAATTAATTAAATAAGGTGTAAGACAATTCACAAACTACAGTTACAAGTAGTAAAAGCACGAAACGTGAAATACATCAAGATTGGCTGCGCAGATATATATGTACAGATGAGTATAGTTCGATCAAGTAAAAGTATTATTAATATTATTCATATGACATCACCATTATTAGGATCAGAATCACCAGGGTTTGTTGCTATTGGAGGCTGATGGGAGAGAACTGTTGACGTTTCATTCCTCCCTCCAGGTTCCACGGAATTCGATGACGGAGGATGATTTTGGTCAGTTCTTTCGTGAGAGTCGGATAATCTTGATTGAGAAACTGCAACAGTGCCACCATTCAGCTGGGAATCATCTGGGGGCTCCGGTTTAGCAACGAGCAAATTACTATCGAGATTCCGTATTCTCGCTGAATTACTACTGGGGGGAGCATTAATCACACTACTAACAACATTACTAGTAGTAGTAGCGGTGGTGGCTGTATTTGCAGTTGAAGAGGTATTCACAATTTGTGCAGCAGGGGCTACTACCGCATTAAGCACTCTCACAAGTTGTTGAGGTCGTTTTCTTGTCCTGAGAATTGATGGATGAAATGCACGAGGGTTAGGGGGAGGGGGAGAGGCAGTAAGATTTCTGGTATTCTGGAGAACATATACTGTCCTTATTGGAGGATTAACCACGGGAAGAAGCACTTGTTGTTGTTGTTGTGTTGAGTTAGAACTCGGAATAATAAGTGTTGTATTAGCTGTAGTAGTTTGAGGTGGAGGAGGTCTAAAAGTAGAGGAAATAAGATTTGTAGTTCGCGGATCAGCAGGAAAATGATTTGCAGAACTGAGAATGGGTGCAGTGAGAGTGTGAATAGAAGGCGTTGAGGGAGATGATATTTCCACAGAATTACTAGGCTCTTCATTTGGAAATGGCGGCAATAAAGGAAGCATGTTTTGAGGCATAAGTAATTGGAAAATCGATTCAATCACCTCCTCTTCCATTTTATACTCCCTCGGAGGTGGATCCAATAAGGGCAAAGTCTTAAATTCAAGTTTGTAAAGGAACTCCACAAGTCGTCCATGTTCCAACTTTATGTTATTTAACATCTCTTCACCGATGCCTCTAACAACCTCATTATACATCACCCTCGTCCAGTGCTCAATAAGACCAAAGAGTTGCTTGAGTGTCTTCTTCAAGACGACCATACTGTCCTTGGCATTAACATCCGCGGACTTGTTATTAAAGGCCATCCACCAATTATCACTCAGACATCTTCGTGCGTGCGCAAGGGCATTACGAAAGTATGTAACCTGTCTGGTCATCTTAGGAATAATATGCATTACATTACAATATCGGAGTTGTAAGGAAGTTCGCTTGAAAGTGAGATGTTTAAGCGCAAGCCTAGCCTCTTCGTAAGTGACTATCTTGTCGCCAGACTGTTCAAATTTTGAAAAACCATTTCTAGAATCCAAGTCAATAATAGTTTCAAAACCCAGACGAAGCAACTGGTGAGCAACAAAGTCCCCATTTCGATTGTGGGGTTGATAGAACATTTTCAGACTATTCACAGTCATATAGGTGAAGAATTCATGTGCTTCGCTGACAGATTCCAACAGACCCGAGATAGCAGTGAGAATTTGGAATTTGAAGAGAGCAAGAATGTCCTGCCTTGCTTCATTGGGGGAGGAGTAAAGTAGGCGTCGACTTTCATCCTCCTCGGTATACTCATCCGGTTTATGAGTACGAAGGAAATCAGCCTGCAAACATGCACCTGCTATTAGCAATTTCGGAGTATTTTCAGTCAGAATTTTCAGATTTGAGATAGCTTGACTATGCACTTGGCGAAGTTGCGTAAAGACGTCATAGTTGAAGAGAAGATCATCTTCCTTCTCCTCAATCAAACGAATTTTACTTCTCAATTCGGCAATTTCACTCGGAGTAGCATTACCCTTGCCGATATAGAAGTGCACAAATAGACGATAAAAGAGGTAGCAGATAAAACCCATCGATGCAAAATGGAGAGTGTATCTAGATCCACAGGCAACGGCGAAATCCTTCAGAACTGGATCGAGTAAAGAAGTCAAAAGTTGAAGGGGTTCTTTTGCCAACGGCAGAGCAAGGATAAGAGATGTTTTTGCAGGTGCTTTTGTACATATGAATTCTTGCAAAAAACGCGCCTTTATGGGACAGAAAAGGTCGGAGCGTTGAACCTTCCATGGATCTATAGTGATGGCCGATGGAGGAACAGAAAGCTGGGAGACTGAAGAAACAGCAGCGCTAGCAAAAGAACTTGGATCAATAACATTTATCCATGAACGAAAATGGGAGAATTGTGGACCTGTTAGTAAACGGGTTATCTCATTGTACAAATTTAGAGAAGAGATGGGAACAAGAGGTAGAAGAGGTTTCAATAAAAAACCCTGAGGGAGGGAGAAGATCGATTCGGACCAATTATCAGGTATTCTTTGAAATCCCCCGTCTGTCCTTACACGAACATCCTGATACTCAATGAAATGAATCTTCTTTTGGCAATCATCAAGCAATTGATCGAAGAGCTTTCGAGAATCCTCCTGTAAACCACCTCCCACATTTAGCAATTTGATCCGCAGAACATCACCAACTAGAAAACACAGTTCCCCACTGAAAAGTCAGGAAAAATTAAGAGGTAAAATCCAAAAGGCCACTGAAACTAAAAGAAGTAACAACGTGGGTTACCTAGAAGAGTTGGGCAAACGTGTTTCGACAAGATGGGGACGACCGAAAACACAGTCCGAAGGGACAAGAAAATCAGCGCTAAGAGCCAATACTGACATTGATGCAGCTATATCCTCAGACATCCCGAAGATTTTGAAGGCATTTTTAACCTAATTTGAGGAGGGAAAGGGGGTATTCCCATTAAAAGATCAAATGGAAAATAAGTAGCGAGGATGGCAGTCTTTGAGCGGGGACCAGTTGGGAACTCCATTTCCCTACCAGGAAATAGCCTCGAAATAGCATGCCGATTTTGAAGTTTATTTATTTATGGGATGTGCGATAGTCTTACCTCCACGTGGAGCATCCTGGGCAACGTATATTCATACGGCAAAAAAGTCAATTAACCGGCAGTTGACTTCTCACTTCAAACTACCACGACCCCCCCCCCCT